TTCAGGTATTCAAACATTGTAATCTATATTTTTAAATAGCACCATGAGAGTTAATGAGAATTTCTGAAATTACTAGGAAATATATTAACTCTTGAACTGGTGGATGGCACTAAAAGGAGCAAGAAACAGTCTTGTTGCAGTAATAATATTAGACTAGTGGAATACTAGGGTTCCTTTCTTGTCATTTTTTTTCCCCCATTTGAGCACTATGAAGATTGAAAGTGTACTACGATAATACGAGTTTCTCAAGGAAATGCATATGCATTCAGTCAATAACTATGATAATTTTAAAATATACAATATGGCTAACTTCACAATCTTTAATGTATTTATCCACAAAGAACATCCTGTAAAGGCAAAAGGTGTGGCTGTGTCCTATGACATAAATTGAAAACTTCATTTTGAATGGTATATGGTAAAATTTTCAATGGCTTTGTGGGATGCAAATTAAACAAAATCCACTAAAATATTTTAGGATGTTGTATTCACATTAAGCCACTATGTAACTTTATAAAATTTGCCCAACACTGAATACCTATGGCAATGCATAGGTAATGTTGACCTGTTGAAGTCAAACTTCTGACTTAGCTTTACAACCTAAGCTTCTAATTCCTACTGGAATTACATTCCAGCACAGGAGCTGCTCTGACTGCTCAAAATTTAGAATTAATTAAATGTCCTCCCCAAGTCCCAGAATAGGCAAGAGCTGCCTATTGCTGACTGGACAATGGCTCAGGGCAGTCTCACAGAGGAGGGTACAAAATATCAAAAGATTTTATGTCATCACATCCTTTCTACTAATCATGGCTGAGATCACTGCTCAGCTGGGGAGGCACCTTTTCTGTGGGGCCACAACCTATAGATTCTCATGAGCTTTGGACTTTCTCCCGATCTCAGCCACTGCTTATGTGTGTGTCTGTCTCCTGCTGCCTGCTCATTGTTAGGTTGGGGCATTCCATGACTGAGTTGATCACGCAGGTGTGTCTAGACCCATGTGCCACCTGAGACACACACCTGGGCTGTCAGCTTCAGGACAGGAGCTGCAGTCTTCTTCAGAACTGGGTCCTTCTCAAAGTGAGAAGTAATGCTTATGATCTGAAGTTAAATTTTCATGAACCGTTTTCTGGAAGGGATTTGTTTTCTTGCTGACTTTAGGAGGAACAGAGTTATTTCATACAAGTTCTAACAGTGGGATCCAGTTCAAAGTGGCTGATCTGACTACACCTCTATGTGAAAAGGCCAGCTAATGTCCAGCTCAGCTGTCCATGTATTTACCTGCTTTCTATAATTTGAAATGTCTGTGGCGTTCTATACAGCTTTATACCACTGCTCAGCACTGACAAATAATTGCAGCAGGACCTAGGTGAGATACACACCTTTTGGAGCAGCAGATGGAGGCCAGGACTTAACATCTTAGAGTACCTGCCATAGCACAAAGAGCTGGCATACTGGCAGCTAAGCCAAGCCCAGTGACTGGAAAGGGATCTAGAGCATCTGACACTCACTTAGAATTCTGACTCTAGCCACAAAATTGTAATCCCACCTAAACTTCAAACTGGATTCATATTCACAGATGCATGAAGCGATATGATGTTGGATTCAGTTGCCTATAAAAAGGATTTGGTGCCATTTTAAGCACCATGAGTTTTCTTATATAGCTTCTACATCCACTGATGATCCAGTTCAAATGACACCTGGGCATCGAAAATGGCAACAAGATCCCTATGTTTATCCGTCATCCAAGTTCTTTACCTAGTAAGCACTCAGTGTTTCAAAAGCAGTAGGGTTAGATCCAAGATGTTTGATGGCTTTGTTGCTAAAAGCTGAGAGGAATAAGGGTAGAGAAGAGAACGGGATGAAAGGAAGGACTTTAAATTTTCCACTTTGACTTTCACAATGACTGTTAACTACTGGATAGATCTAATGGTGTCAACAGAGTATAATACTGAAGTTATCAGTGGTAAAGATCTGCTGCTCAGCAAGATTGTCTATCCTGCATGTTTTAGAAAATATAATAATTTTTTACTTATATACTGATTATTTTTTATGATAATAAAACAATGCTGATAGCAATCAAAAGAGAGAGGAATAAATTAAATCTTTTCTAGCATAAAAGTTTTTAACAAATTATGCTTTCAGATCAGTCTTTTTTGCTCCTCTTCCTGATATTCCTTTGTGGATGTGCTGTATCTGAAACAGTTCATTAATTGTCAATAAATCTAATTATGCTATATTTACAATATCTAATTTACCTTTACTTTCAGCTAATTGGTCTATTAGCTTGATTTGGGGAATAATCAGTTTGAAGTGCTGAGCACACAAATGGAATTGAAGGACAAAAGAACTGAGTAAATCATATCATACAGGTTTATTCCTCACCATGTTTTTAAAGAAATGTATTGGCACCCTCCCCCCACTTCCCCTATCCTTTCAGTACCTACATGATGAAAAACTGCTATAGATCAAGCTAAATCTGGGAAGTATGCCAAACCTATGCCATGTTTTCATCCTTGGAACACTCTGAAGAAATGCAGAGTTTGCCTACTATTTTTATACCGCAAACCAAACACGTAGAGTATTTGAAAGCATCTGAATCTTCAGTCACTACAATCATTACAAGACCATTAAGAGAAACTGATTATCCAATTAATTTGATTGCACGCTATACATACTCAGAGTTCCAACAAATGGAAGGATATAGGTGCTATTAGGAAAGTTCTTATTAAGATCATCAGCAAGAACTCAATATCCTGACTTTTGAAAAATTTTAGCCAGGTGTAAATCCAGAACAAGTAAATATTTTTCCTATCTCTGAGATGCAGTTTTGCTCTCCCACACTCCTTGTAGAATGAGGAACTGTTACTGGTTCAGGAAAATACAATTGCATTTTGCTGAAAACCTCCCTCTGTCTGAAAAAAGTTTAGTCAATGAATAGTTTCATGATTTGTTATACTGCCTAGTTTTTGTATAGATCATTATTATAATTAATAATTTATTAAAATAGTAGTTTCACCACTGACTTTTCAGTTTTTGCACAAACAGGTGTTTTCCATGATCTAGCTGCTACATAATAGCCTCATAGAACTGAAATTCTGTGTTAAAGAGAAATATTTGAAGAGATCCTGACTTAATGCTCTGGACTTTTCAAGCCAGTTTCTGGTGCTATTTTAAGATGATGACTGTTTTCAGGAAATAGATCAAATAATTCCCTTTTCCTCTCTGAAAAGGATTTCATGCTATCCAACTGCTTATGCAATTTGGACCAGAAGCTCCATCAAGCAGTGGAAGCAGCCTGTCTTCCCCTAATCATAAATATGCCATCATTAGTGGCTGCGTAGATAAACTGCTCTGTTTGGACAGGTCCAGACTTTCAACAAACTGCCTGGCTAAAGGTAAGTAGTCTGTGTTATGTTAGAAGTCCATAGTATTTTAGAGACAGTGTTTGGACAGAGAAGTGGCAGAAGGATATAGTTACTGTCCTGTTTCAACCATATCAATAATATGAGATAATTATATGATGGGCTGTGTTTCATCAGTTGCATTATCTGCTACAGTAAAATGTGATTTTAAAAATTGCCCTCAGATTACCACTTTGCTGCAGGTTTTCGGCTGTACACTTAACTGCTGGATTTTTTTGGTTTGGTTTTTTTGTTTGTTTGTTTTTGTGGGTTTTTTTTGTTGTTGTTGGGTTGGTTTTCTTTTTTACTTAGGAATGGTTTGAAAATTTCATTCTAATAACAAAAACTTGAACTTCAAAAGCCTGCCTCCCTAATGACTTGAGTGAATATTTTCTAAGTGGTAGACTTTCTAATCCTTTCAGTTAGAATTGGATTGAGTCACATGTTAGGGTATATGTTTTATTGCCTTCATGTTAACAAGTTAATATTCTTTTAAGAATTGTATATGACTAATATTAACTTGTCTGAATTCATCAGTAAAAAGTAATTTTTGTACAAGTCATTCCATGTAGAATAAAGGGCAATGTTCTCCTTAACTTGTTCTTGAAGAGCAACTACTGCTCTCCTGTGAAGGACCTTTTCATTTGCCAGCAGTAATAGCATGTTTTTCATTCCATAAAAGATGAAAAAGAAAACTGTTTCCTTTATCAGCCTTTTCATACCAAATGTGATTATTATCACCTTTTTTATTTGTACAGATAATCAAGACATAACTATAGGTATTCTTTGTGTCTAATCAAAATTCCTATATTTTTCTTACAGATTATCACAATATTGCTGCTCTCTAGATGTATAGATATTATATGTTTATTTTTAATATAGAGATATATACTAATTGATATATTATTAGTCTTCATATTTTATAGGACTTTTTCTGCTAGGTGCTGCTAGGTGTCCTAAATATTGTTCAGAATTATGTAGAATAAAATGTTATCCCAGATGACACAGAGAATTTGAAAAGCTGCTCAGCAAGACTGCTAGTGACCTTAGTGCACCTAATTCTTGCCTGCTGAGGATTTGGGGTACTTTAGGATAGATTATCAAAAAAATATATTTTCTTAGTGTTTTCTAAAAAAAAAATAAACTGAAGTAGTAAGAAAAAAAAGTGAAATAAGAGGTCAGAAAAGTGCTTACAGAAACATAAAAAACAGAATGGTCAAAAATAAGTTGAGAATTCACAGATGAATTGGGTTTATATTCCAAACAAATTCTTCTGGTTCTCTATCTCAGTATTTATATATCAAGAATGCATTTTTAAAGAATAAGTGGAATCCTCAAAAATGAGATAAATGAAATGAAAACTCTATCACCTAACTGAATTAGTCTCATGCAAGATATAGGAAAGCATTTCAGGTTTCCTGTCTCCAGCATGGCTGCACATTCATGCATAGTTCTTTGTTTGTTTGTTTGTTTTAATCTACAGTAAGAACTAGAAAATCCTGCCGCAAAGCTCCTGACAGAAAAGGCATTCTGCATTCTTACTTATTTGTCAGCAGTGCAGTGCATCCGAGGTATGGCCAGCATCCAAAGAGACAAGAAAAATGGATTAAAGAGTCTGGGTTTTATGAAACCATACTGTGTCATCAGTACATCATCACTGTAATAAATACTGGACAGAACGATCTTGCAGTTATTACAGCCATATTTTTAGTGAACATATACCAATGTTACAGTTTGAAGCCTGCTACCACAGCTTTGACTCATGGCTATTATTACTGCTTTCCTTTCCTACTCTGTGTGAGACAAATGCATAGAAATTCAGCCATTCAATGCCTCAAACTGCAAAGTAAGTTTTTCTTGTATTAAAAGATGTGTCAATTTAACTTGTATTACTTGAAAAATAGTTTTGGTGCTCATATGAAGAGCCTGTGTATGGATACACATGTTTAAATTTCAGACTTGTTTACATAAATTAATTCTAAATAAATAATGGTGCTAATGGACCTTCACATCTGTCATGTTGTGACTAGATTAAGAATCTACCCCAAAACACTATCTTTTTTGAAGTCGTGGCATAAATTTTATGTAGATTGTCTCAATTCTGACTAGAGATGAGGAATTAAGTTATACTTTAACAGCTTTTCTATATCTTTGGCATATTTTCCCAATTCTTGCATACCTAACATTAACTACGTATACTGACAAACTACCATATTTTGTTTAGCAGTATTAAATGGAAATTATCTTTTTTTCACTAGATTAAAAATAAAGGATCAGGCAGTTAAGACAGAATAGAAACACAATGTCTAGCTCCTTCCAGAAACCAAGCTCCACCCAGCATGTATGGAGAGTAAAGAAAGAGATAGGCCATGAAAATTCGTCACTTCCTTGCACATGGTCATATGCTTTTCATGTGGTTCCAGGCTTGTGTTCATTGAGCTGGGGACTCAGACCTGAGTCTCTTTGTCCTGAAGTTGCCCTTTTCTACAGTTGCTCTTTTCCCTACATCAAATGCTAAAGCTGGCCTCCTGTCCAGAGAGGCCTGTTGCCTTTCTGTGAGTTCCTTTATGAAGGCTGGATTGACAGAAAGGAGTATTCAGAGTCTGCCTATTTCAAAGAAATAGAGATATGCATATTTTCCATTTCTTCAGAAGTATTTGGGGAAATTTCAATGAGAGTTGTTTGTTTTCTGTGTTCCAGAGATATTGTTTGTAAGAAGATAATGATCTGATTTATTTTAGGTATTTATCCAGAAGATTGAGTTTGAGAATCCACCTTGGAGTTGAAAACTCAAGTTACTCATTAGATAATTTGCTGTAAGCCAATTGGTTGCAGTCAAAATAAGTTTTCCATTACTTTGTCATCCAATAACATTTCCAGAGCTACTTGCTAATCTAATTGACAGTAGTATAATGACTACAATAATCATCACATTTCAACAGCTCAATTTTTAGCTTGTGGTTCCCTTTCCTTTTTCCCCTTGGGCTTATCTATTTTTTTGACATGTGAAGATCTGCGGTCGTCAATTTTTCTTTGAGAGACAATCTTCAATATTCATCAAAGTAAAACAATATGTCATATCTTTCAATCTGACAACATCATTCCTTTTTCTGTCTGCTGAAAATAAACTCTTTAATGATTCAGTTCTTACTGCCTCATAATATGCAGTCAGTCACTTCAGCAGAGCAATGATCTTTTCACCGAGCTTTAAGTAGCTTGGCACCAACATCCTTTAGTGCATGCATTCTAAGAGACCATGAAAAATATAATCAGGTGTAAACTTCACAGCCAGAATTGTTAGCTGTCCAAACTGTAACAGGTAAATTAAAAACTTATTTGCCACAATTTTTAAGGGAGTTCAGAGCCTTAAAGTGTCAGGCTATACGTTGGCTTTTTTTTTGTTATTTAATATTGTCATTAGGTAAAACCATGAAAACAAAAATGGAGACAACATTAAAAGAAGCAGTAACAAGATCTAGATTGCGCCTATTACAGATCAATAAGCTCTTTTGTTTTAATTCCAGCCAAGAAACCTGATAAAGAAAGAAAATATTGCTGGGCTTTTTGTAACTGTAATCAACAGGCTCGGTTAATAAACTACAACTGTAAAGGCAAAATTCCTGTTCAAAATCAGATTTCTTCTCCTGAATTTCTGTGAGTTTTTGGAGAAAAGTCTCCGAAGGCTGGTGCAGTAGCATTATATTTTTAGCTTAGCTTTCTTTGTTTCATGTAAAAAATAGGACTACAAGGAAAATAAAAGATTACTGCAATTTTTCAGACAAGGATGTCAGTTGTGTCCACTGCTTCCATCTTCCTCACTATCTGGTACTGAAAATGAGTCTGTCATATCAGGTTTCATTTCAGATAATAAGGGAAGTTAAAAATTAACTGGTACTCCTGCATTCACAGAATCCAACCTTTGTCAAGCAGCAGTTTCCTGTATATTAATAGATTTGAAATTATTCAGGAAATTGGTTGAAAATGACAGAGTCACTGAACATTATTTTAATGTCAAATTACTTGAACAGTTCTGTTGGAGTCATCCAGAACACAGAGGTCGATGCTGCACTGCAGCATGGCAGCTGGTGTGCCTCAGGAGCTGCAGTCAGTCAACTCCAGTTTGAAACAACTTATAACTGGCAAAGATAAAATGGACCACAGGAAGAAAATCTTCTTCAAAAAAGCTGTAGTAATATCATGCTAGCATATCCTACATAGTCTTTAAAATTCGAAGTGTGGCAGGGCAGAGATCTGACTGCTGGGTTTAAGTCTATACTTAAACGTGCTAGTGAAAAGGATTCCTCTCTTTCATACAGAGACAGGCTTTCTGTCAGAGTATTCAGAAGTGTTCATATCCTACAAGAGAGAAAAAAAAAAAAAGAGAAAGAGAGAGAAATAAAAGATGATTAGCCATCAACACAAATATTGAGTGATACTAATAATAGAAAAAGTTATAGGGACAATGCCTACTCCCACAGCTTATATTTCAAATTTACTGAGAGTTGCTGAGGCACAAGTTTATCAGCTTCATTGTTAGTTTTAATTCTGCCATATGAATTGACCAGTAATTAACTCTGAAGAAATAGGAAATGTAACAGCCTCATTTACCAACATGTGGATTTCATCTTCCGAAAAACTTAATCCTTTCTGATGGTTTTCCAATGAAATAAAACATAAATAGGAACAATAATGAATTAATATAAGGACACAAGATTGTATAAGTAGTATCACCCATATTTCAAATCACTTTTCCTAAACTAGGAGAGAACTAAGAGGCATGTGTGAAATAGCAACCTATGCTTGTTGAGTTATATTTCATGAGGCAAAAACTATTGTACTTTCATTCTGATACCAATATATGCGTCTTTCACATTGTTTTACTTTGCATAGATGATATCAGAGTAATCTTCTCTTTATACAGATTATGTTTTCTGAGTTACCTGGCCATATAATTTAAGATGTGTGTGAGCTCAGCCTGTATCATTTAAATGTCGTGGCCAAATTGTTGACATCTTGAAATTTTTGATCACTTCAGCAGATTACTTTCAATAATACAGTTGCTGCTGGATGATCCTTACAAAGACATTACCATCAGACTGAAATATGAATACATATAATCCCATAGGTTTCTGAGAAAAGTAGTAATTTATTTGAGGAACTGGTCAGTCTTCCTAAAACCGAGAGACAGATCCTAAATCTTGGAAATGCAGAGAAAATGATGTGATTTTTGTCCAGACTCATTGCTTTGTTCAGTAGTGGATAAAATTTGTTATTTTAGTGTCATTTATTAGCCTTAAGTTTGCCTCCATAACAGGAAGTGAGGATGCAGTTGCCCTCTTTTTGAAACATTATAGCATTATTTAGCTTTGCCTAAAACTCTGCCTGGTTTTGGAGGCTCATTTTCCATGGTCTGTAATTAAATAAAAAGTTTTTGTGGAAATGTATTCTAGCTACACCATGGTACATTTACATACCATTGTTTTACATATTATTTATAACATACTCTGGTAATCACTTTGAATTCTTCATTTTCCTCTGCTCTCCTCCCAGTAGTTTTTCATGTTTAAAAATAAACAATGAGTATACATCTCAAGACAGCTGCTGGACTTAGGAACACCAGGGCTACTGCAATGGTCAAATCTTTGTTATTCCAAGCAGATACTATATGCAGAGTGAAAGGAAAACAGGCTAGGTTACTGGAAGACATTAAAAATGTCTATTACATACAGGACCCCTACCAGTATAAAAAAGAATAGCCTCACTTAGATTTGCAGTTAGTAACAACTGGCAAAACTGATGAGAATTCCTCCCTCTTGAACAATTTCTTTGTAGCACAATCTTAGATATTCAAGTTGCTTGATATTAAAGCAATTGTTTAAAATATCACTTATTTGAGGTTTTTTTTAATACCAATTGCAGCCCACAGACCTGGGTGATCCCAACAGTACTGAAGCAAGATTCCTAAAAGCCAAATGGATCTTGGGCAGGGGGACCTGTACCAGTGACTCAGCACAGGATACCTCAGTTAAGCTTCCTGTGTTCAAGTTTACCCAGGTGGAAGACTGAGCAGAACAAGAAAAAGGAAGAGGACCTCCACTAAATTTTGTGTTGGAACTGAGCATTCAGCCTGCATATTATAAATACTTGATTGTTTTTTTAAAAAACTTTAAAATTGTTTATTTTGTTTATTTTGACTCCAAGTAGAACTAAATACAATCTATTTTAGTTGTTTCATTTGTGAGTGAAATGTGTGCCATAACTTCTTCTTCCACCTCCCCCCATCACCTTTATTTCAGTCAGAAGACTTTGGAAGAAAACTGCCCATACATGGCAATCACAGCAAAAATACTGCTGCTTCAATATCTTGGAAGATGAGATGTTCCTTTAAGTCACTGAAGCACTCACAAGGCAGAATTTACATGACAAACAGGATCTGATCTTTCAAAGTCAAGATAAAAATATACATTATATAAAAACAGTATCTTAAAATAGGTCTTGTATAAAAGACTGTAATTACTGGCCTAGGACAATATACTTGAAGATGCAATGTAGGCTAGACTAAGGCTCTTTTTAAAATTTGATATGGGCGATTCATGCTCAGAATTCACGTGTCCATGCCACATTTCATATATGTAAACTGTGTCCTTTATATCAATGGGAAATATCAATCAAAGCAGTAAACTATAAAACTCCCCAGAGATAGGATGGCCCATCTGCATATACCATATTCTTTTATCTTAAGTAGTATTTGAGAAAGATATTATTTCTGTATAATTTCTATTTAGCATTTATGCCCTAACATTGCCTGGAAGGCATAATCCAGATTAGATACTGATGTAAAACACTGATAACTGTGTTTAAAATTTTAAAAATTAGTAAAAAATCCTGAAACGAAATACTTTTTAAAGTAAATGAAAGGCAAAGAAAGCTCCCAAAAGACCCACTTTAGTAAGCAGTCTGCTCAAAAATGCTCAATGTTCACTACATTTTACTGTATGAGATCAAGATTTTCCTCTGGTTATTTTCAGGAAATTCTCTGTTCACTGTTCCCATTGTCACAAAATGACAGGTCCCTCTCCCAGCATTGCATGTCTAGTAAAGTCACATACAATACTTGTAAATAAACAAATCCTAGTACCATTGGTACTCCAGAAGAATTTTGAAATGAGCACATTCCCTAGGAGATTGAGGATCTGAGAGCTACTGATTTTCCTTCCCTAGAAGAGCTTCCCCTCTTTCTCAGTTATAACATTAACTCATATTTCTAGTATTTTCCCCATAACATTGAATTTTTTTTTTTCTACTGAGGTCTTGCACTAACATTAAGAAGTCAAATTAAGTAGAATGAACATAGAAAAATTCTATACCAAAAATCTGTTCTAGAACTTTCTTTTACTCAAGGTTTTCTTTAATTTTAAATTCCTTTGACATCTGATAGGAAACTCAAAGGGACGCCCCATACTGCAGAAACAAGAATTTTACAGAAACATTAAAACGGTTCAGAGTATGTGATTTCTGCTTACTTTGTTAGAGACAAAGCCAAAAGTTTTATATGAAAGAAAATCTATGCACTCAGTTTGCAGCACATCAATAACTCTGTAACCTTACACAGCTGAAGGCCATGGAGTAATGTGGCTGTGCTCAGCTTGCTGTTCAAACAATTTTTTAAACATCTGCTTCTCTGTGCAGGAGTTAAAAATTATTATGCACTTACAGCAAACAGGTATAGTATGTTAGCTATAAACAGCCAAGATACACAGCTTGAGTTCAACAGATCTTAGAGACAGCTTCAAGAAAGATAAAAAAACCAACTTTTCTCTTTTGGAAGCAACTGGCTACATTATTTACATCTTCAAATGCTTACAGATATCTTTACTGAGTGGTGCCACAGATAACAGCTGATAGAGACAAAGGCCTGAATAACAAGTGACAACTTGGATTACATTGTTTGCTCTATCTTTTTTTTTTTTCATCAAAACTTATATTTTCTACAATAAAATTTGCAACACTGGACAACCAAACTCCTGTGACTGTCATTATCTCTGCAACCAGAATCTCATTTTGGTCCTTTTACACATATGAAAAATGAAAGATTTTCCTTTTGAGACCAAAAAAAGGGGGAAATGCATAACCATAAACTCTAGGGAATGTACTCAGTGTCTCTTTCCACAAGTTAGTTGAAGTTGTTTTCTTTGCTGAAAAAAAGTGACTCTTTGAAGCCAATTACCAGGTCCTCCAGGAGGTACAGGTTGTGTCTGTATATCACTAAATATAATAGAGGAAGAATTTAAGCATCAGACCTCTGTTTGCCCTTACAGCTGGCTTCTTTATATTATTTCTGCAGAGTGTTTGTCTGTGTACTTGTATGTCAAAGGATGCATAGTGAGGAAGGGCTGAACAAACTTTGAAACCAGTACCCTTGGTCTGAAAATGTTGTGTAAACTTTTCACAGAGTCCCAGATACTCAAGCCAGGAAAAAGCACAGGAGTTGAGGTTGTCCAGAGGAGTGCTACATTTTTGACCTTGAGGGCCTCCTATGTACATGAGACCTCACAGCAATATATACACTACTGTGTGCTGGCAGATTAAAAGCAATGGTTAACAGTTTGGGGGATTGCAAGGAAAAACTGAAAAATCAAAAAAAATTTGCAAGGAAAGATGCATTTAAAAAAATGTACTTCTGTATACTTGTTTACTTTAATCATTGTATCAGATTGACATTAGTATAAGTATGAAAGGATATGATTTTGAATCATAATCTTAGCTACTGGTAAGAACCCTGAAATCCAACTTTTCACCAGTGATTACATTGATATATTAACCTAAAAAAAATTATCATTGCCAGATACTTGAAGAATATTAAATATTAAAACATTTCCCATATATGAATAAATTTTAATGTCAAGCTGTGTGACAAAAAGAATACCTGGACATAAAAGAATATGTTTGAAGTGTTTTAATGTTTCAGATGTTTCCTATAAGTATTACTTTCTTGTGATGTTTGTCTACAATGTAAAGTCCTGCATGAGAATGAGAATCAAAGAGAATTTTGTGGCTCCATTTCTAGCTCACTTTCTACTCCAGTCCCAAATATTGTCTGAATACTTTACAGGTTGGAGAAAAAGCAGAAAACATCTCAACTTGTAGAGTTGTATCTTGTCTTTCCTCCACTGTAACAGTAAATATTTTGAGCTTTGGGTATTGGAATGAACATCAAATTGAGACAAAATTCAGAGACAGTCTGGCAGTAGTCCTTGTGGAAGCAAATTTCATCATGGGTCATGTATCTGGCTGCTCTGGCTGCTGCAGATGTGTGTCTTGGGATACCCCCGAAGTAGGATCCAAGCTGTTGCTGG